AAAGAAATCACTTGATTCTGAGTCTGACATCATGATTAAAATGTACTGCAAAATTTATTTAACGCATAGAAACTACTTAATTCAGCGTGTTAAAAACTTTAACTAAACTCCTAATCAACGCGTAATACATTCAACTCATTCATATTCCTCATAGTTTTTTTAGTTGTAAGTAACTAGATTATGCTTCCCACTGGTAATTTATACCTCTTTCTAATTGCTCTTCTACAAGTTCCTGCAAATGAAAAGGAAATCATACTCACAGTCAGATATAAACGTTTATCCATGTTGACAGGAAAATTCTCTTATTCTATCACAAATTAAAAAGACAGACGTGATTTGATTAGGACATTAAATACTGCAGAGGGGTGTTGGTGGTGGTAGGTAGTGGTGAACGGAAGATACACAAAGGAAGCTGTATTGTTCATGTACTCAAGTGAAAAACAAGAAAAGCAACTTAACCAACCTAATCATTCATCACCTCGATTACTTTTCTTTGTATTATTCTCAAGTTAGATATCTATGCATGAAGCGATATACCGCCAAAAATATGTTCAAAGCTTATTGGGATAAGTTAATGTATTTATCGTGTGCTTGCTTGCTACTCGTATTGAGTATTATTTTCGACGAAGTGTGTATTATTATTATTATTAGTTTGTTGTTGTTGTTGTTGCTGCTATTAGTGTAGTCATCATTTTCATTATTATCGTTGGAGTTGGTCTTTTTACGCTGACAAAAAAACTTTATGCTTAACTTATTCTTCTACAATTATGAAAACTTTCCTGTTTCCTGTTTTAGCTTTTTTCGTATAAGTTAAAGAAAAGGGTGGGATGCTATTTCTGTCATTGTTGTAAGGTTTTCATGATAGTTTTTCTCTATATTTCGTTCTGTCTGTCGCTAACTTTCTACTTCGAATCAGATTTCCGGAGTTGGTTGTCGAAGTAGGTATCTGCTAGTTTATTGTTTGATTTTCAAGTTTTCCACTTCTACAAATGCCTCTGCTTTTTTCCTGTTGTATTGATTTTGGTTGACCGATTTCTATCATTATTTTTCATTTTTCTTCCAGATATAATATTGATTATGAAAAAAGATAATAACATCATTACCTAGTAATATTTGCTAACCTCTTCCCTTTTAGAGTTGCAACGTCACTCAGTGTCATATAATCAACCAAGATACAACTTACTCACTAGCAAGCAAATATGTGCATATAGTTATGGGTAAGATATGAGTTTCCAATAGGATAATTGCTTGTCTCCCCTTCCTCACTGTTAACTTGATAACTTGATCCATAATTCATTGATAAAGTGGAGTAGTGAACTAGACTCTATCTATCACAACCAATCAACACATTTGAATGCTTCCTGGAATTATCTTAAATGTTGACAGGATTTTATCGATCATTTTGTAATCTGACCAAGCCGAACAGCTCATCCTTTTGTTACACTTAGATGGATTTTAGTTAGTTGAAACAGTTGAGCCTCCCAGCTTCGTGGTCTTATTGCAAAAAGATCAATAGAATTTGGTCAGCATCCCGGACTAGACAACATGAGACTGACTGCTTTCCAGTGATGTGTACAAAAAACCAGAAAGTTAAATTAAGCAGGTCTTGCTGCTGATTGCCCTCAACCGATTAACTTTACCATTCAACTATTCAAGTCTTACATGACCCCACTCACGACTGAAGTATGGACAAAAATTAGTTACTCGGTAGTGGCCAACGTAACTGCTGCTTGTTCATTCCCGACTGAATTCAGTTGGTCAGCATTTAGGCCTAGCAAAACTTACTATCTCCAACAGTTACAAAACCCACAAATTGTTAAAAGCCCATTCATAACTCAATGTATCATCTGAGTCATTGGTGTATATTCTGCATAAGATGTAAAGATAAGTGTGTATACCGTATTGGCGAATGTCCATGAAGAGATAAAAAGGTTTTGAAAATCTGGAAACACAATTATACATAAGTTTATGACTCTTGTACTCTTCTTCAAATGATTTTTTCGAGATTAAGTATCACGTTTGGAGGTGAATAAAAGCATCAGTCCTTCAAAATGTATACTTAGATTCTTCGTCCTGAGATACAAGTGCGTGAGTCACAACTGTTAACATGGATACATTTTTAATATCACGTCAAAGAATAACCTGGCGTTGGATATCAGTGATCAGAGTTGGTACTCTACATCGATTAATAAACTTTTTTGAGTATCCAGTTGTCCCAGATTGGTACGCCTGACTAATAATGTTACTAAAATGCTGCTTCATCTTCAAAGATTCTTGGAGTCGGTTTTGCTTTTATATTGCCTAGCTTTGGATATTATCAACAAAGAAGGTTGAAAACTGAGAAACAAGAAAGTAGGCTGCAGTTTAAGTCAATGAAATTCGTTCAGATAGATGAAATGATTTCTAATATACTTGAATAATTGTCCTATACTTTGATTAGTTACTGGGGAATAACGGATTTCACGTTGTTTAGTCCTGAGTACTAACCGAACTCCATCAGTCATTTCGAAATATGGCCTCTAAGCTAGATGGGTCATCATTTTGGTGCACTTTGATAGATGTTAGTTGGTCAAAGACAACTGACAGGAAGACCTACTTCACGTGGGCTTCATGTTTGTCGGTGCTTGTCAACAAGGTGTATCTCCGACCTATGAGATTCGAATTCAAGTCAACCAGTGTTGTAGTGAACGACAAGAAATTATCTCAGCAGTATAAGAACTATATGTAGGAATGGAATCCACAGAAATTGACTAATTTAGTTAAAAATATTAAATATTTTCAACTTACACAGCATAAGAATCATTTAGCTTGTCCGGAACTCTACAACTATGAAGGTAGAGAGATAGTACCAGTTAATTAGTTCTATTTAAGTGCTACTGTCTGGTTAATAATTCTAATTTATCCTCGGTTTAATACAATATACTCTATGCCTTAGCGCAGAATAAATTTATTGATAAATACCTCAAATGACTTCATTGATCAGACTGTAAGCCTTTATGATAGTGTGCCTACTCTGTCTATTTTTGCTTCCTAAATGCAGCTGATTTATGTTTCCATTTTCATCTTCATTTCTGCTGCTGTCGTGGAGGAAGAAAAGTTTGAGTAACACTTTCCTGTGGTTGAGGATAGGAAGGGGAAGGTAATAATTTTAAACCTACTGTCTTAAAGCTAACATAATTTACTAATACATCAAGACACTAAAAATTCGACTGATTTCACTAAAATAATGGACAACATTTGTTCAGTTCTTCCTAGTTTTTCGCTTTCTTTATGAAATGCGTCGCTTCCATCAAATATCATTTAAACCAAACATTTATCTGAATTATGCAATAAATATTGATTGTACTGGCGTCAAAAATGTTCATTACTTTCTCTTAGACATAAATTCTGATTGATAAAAACGCATACTACATAAGGAACATCCTGAAAAGCTTGCGAATCAATGTCGAAACAGGGAAAGGGGGAATTAGGATAGCTGAAAAATGAAAGGAACTAGTGTAACAGCTGGAGTAATGTAACTAGATTTTCACTAGATATTGCTGTACCTGTTCTAAGTTTGATTGTTGTTTGCCTTTTAAGTATAAGAAACTGACATTCATATATATATATATATATATATATATATATATATATATATATATATATATATATATATATATATATATATATATATATATAGTGCAACTATCATCCAAGGTCTTCAGTTGGCATCAGCTTCACTTCCGACTGCTTGACTCCACAGGTCACGGCTTCCCGTTAGAACTTCGGGATATCCATCTTGAAGCATGTCACAAACGCATACTGCTGAAGAATTTCATGCTAGGATGAAACAGATGTCTACTGGTCCGAGGTTTTACATGGTTATTCAAATGCTGTCAGTCCGTAATGAATGCTACGTTAAAAATGAATCTCCAATAACCCCAACATAGATTGCTGTATAATGCTTATTAGTGGAATGCTTCCAAATGGATACCCCGAAGTAAAACTCAATGAAAGTGACGCCTACAAGTGATTCTGAAAATAATATCGATTAAAATCCAATCTGAGAGGAATAGAAAACTATCAGGAGTGAAGAGGTATATCGGCTGATAACTGATGAATACTTTGTGTATATGGCGTAGTCCTTCAGACCACTAAATATGTGCTAAGTAATTTAGTGATCAATTCACCGAAGTAAGAACTCAGTGACATGGGCTCAAATCTCTCTCTGTTGGACATGCCGAATTCCTCATTTTTATAGATGTACTTTACTGGCAAGTTCTGACAAATACAATATCTTGGCTCAGGATATACTTTCCAATGAGTCTTTATACCTAACGTTTCGAAATATATTTAAAATGACCCTGAGGTTTTATTTTAATTTAACTATTCAATGAGAACTACTTTCATCATGAACAGAGATTTCTTAACATGAAATAACCAATTATAAAAACGCGTTATAAAAGTTTTCATCAGTTATCAAATTCTTTATTATACAGTGGTATATCTCTATATTCCGCGCCATCTTCCATTTGTCCACTTCAGTTGAACACCAGTGATATGTGGGAACAACTTTTCAAACAGTATTGTGTAACTGTATTTCTTTAATTTGTTGTCTTCAGAATGAAGCCTATTTTACACAGCAACCTTCAAGATGTTATCTTTCGGTTGGTATGCGTAAACAAATCTACTTCAAGACCATTTGTCTTAGTCCAGAAGTCAAGAATCAGTTCTTCATTAGATTATGATAATTTTGCTTTTGAAAGTACACTTACGAATTCGGGATCTTATAAAATCATCATATTCCAAGGTGTTATCAAATAGTTGCCACGTCTTTAGTTGTATAAGGTTATACACATATCGTGTTATATTCTGTTATTTACTGGCGAATATAGATTATGCGTATCCCATACAACTATTACAAGGTTTCATCATATGTTCTATATATGAGTCGGGTTAGTAAAACAGTACCAAATTACACTGAAATTTATGACTGCTAAAATACTTTAACAATAACTTACACTGGGAATATTTTCTGTTGTACATATACCTTCTTGTAGTAGACGATCTCGAATTTCCCAAGCAAAAATTGATGGACATTCTCTTTTGTAATGTGCTATTTTTAGAACTACTAAATTTGTAGCCACTCTTGGTTTACTACCACCAATTGCTTTAGGTCTAATTGAACCAGTTTCATAATAACGACATAATATTTTTGATACACATCCATTAGATACTTGTAGGATTCGAGATATATCACATGGGCGTGCACCTGAATGTGCTAATTCAATAATACGTTGACGTGTTGTATCTGGTAATGGGCGACCATTGACAAACATTCCACCTAGTTGATTGACTCCTGAATGACCTAAAAGTACAAACAATAATGGCGAAAAAAAATCAGTTTAATGTGTAAAGCATAGTTTTGCTTTTTGTGTCATATTCAAGAAGGAGTACAATTCCCTACGTCAGTAGGTTTCTGTGATTCCTATCAAACTGTCTGGATATGAACTACATCAATATGCGCTACTTGTTAGACGTAGGTAAGTGTAAAACCTCAGTCTCATAAATGCACATGATGTAGTATAAACAGGTGTGTTTAAACTAGCATGCCTTATTTCATTCTCAACATCTAGGCTCCATTGGTCAGTTTAATCATTTATTCCAAAGAAGAATTCAGAGCAGTTACAGAAATTCACCTGTATAAGATGTGTAATAATGTATTCCTAACTTTCCTTGATTGATTCTAAAAAATTACATGTATGAAAAGCTGAATTGCTGTAGTGTCATAATCAGTTGATAAAATCTGAATAAATTAAGTCTTAAAAGTAATATATAATTCATTTCAGAGTGGTATTCATCTGGGTCTGGCATCAGTCGCAGAAACACTGAAAATTGGGGAGCGCTGGACAAATGTTTCATCCAAAACCTAAAGCTCCTAAGTTTGATCCTCAGCGAGGTCATGAGTGCATACTGTTGTGGTGTCCCATCCACAGTATGACGAAACAGCTGCCTAGTTCTCCAGCTGATGCCATTCTAGGATGATGAATACCTCAAAACAAATAAATCTTCAAGAACCTGAAACTTAACATATTTTTCGTTAGATTATTATGTTTCCTTTCAATTCACTAACTCGAAACGAGAATGCAAATAAAAAAAGGAAGTTATTGTGTTTAATAAGTTGGTTTCATAAAAGCGATTTTAATTAACCATCTGGTAATTGAACTGCACATGAAAGTTGTCAATACCAGATTGGTTTATGTATACTGACTGAGAGAAATCCTGGAATGTAAACAGAAAATCTTGATTGTAGAAGTATCCTGTTCATTTGTCAGTGAACTTTAGGTTCAGAAATCAACTGATTGGAATTAGATGATACTCTCTTGGTCACACCAAGCATATTTTTAGTAGTAAAAAGTATTACTCTGCTACGAAAATAAGCATGAATGTCATTAATTCACGTTTTCGTGATCCCGAAATTTTTCCGGTTGAACTCATTATCGTAATGGAAAATTAGTGTTTTCCTCAGATACACATATAGACGTAGAGAGCGTAAACATCACGAATTTTTTATAGTGTTAATAGTTTGCTGTTTAAAAGTTAACAGTGATGAAACTGCTTGGCTTTACTTTCATCACTGTAGATAAACATCATCAACCCTGACATGACAAAACTTTGGGGGTTGGTAAGAATATCACTTTCTAATAAACCGTATTCAGAGAGTCATAGTCACATATACACTAACTGCTTATAGATATTTTATCTTGATAGGTTGTGTTACTACTCAGCATTATTTTGTCCTAGAACCATTCAATGTATTCTATATCTTTACTGGAAGATAATTTCGCGTAGTTAACATTCCTTGATGAAATAATACCCTGTTATTATCAAAGATGTCGATAAAATTTAAAAAGTCATTAGTTTTGCATATCATCTATTTCAACAAATAAAGTCTACAAAGACGCCAAAAAAAAGTATAAAACGATAATAATTTAAACTACCAAGTATGTAATAAGTAGGAGGAGTGTTTTTTGCTATTCTGAACTTATCAGCTGGATGTATCATCACTCCAGTGAGTGATGTTGTGCCCATTGAGACTAGTACCGGCTACTCATTGCTTAAAACACTAAAGCGTTATCTCCTAGGCCACTGGGGTGGACAGAAGGGAGTATGCATCATGGATTTCACCCTTATTTACCAAAGATGAGTATGACATCATGATTATCTGGTGTCATAGAGGAGTTCTAATAGGAGAAATGTGACCTATTATAACAACGAGAAATTAAAAGTATCAAACAAGTGGCTCACCTCTTTCAGTTTTTGCCGACAATTATCTTCAATACTGTCTATTGATGAACTATCCATACTTAGTGTACTTAGTCCTAAAACGAAAGAAAAGGATCATCAAATCATCCCGAATAACATTAACAATACTAATTTGGCACATTTATTAGTATAGATATATGTTTCAAAAAGTTATAATCACTAAGGTATTAATGGCAATGATGTATGTAGGCAATATTTCTGCCTCATAAATCATTTCGTATAGCTCTTTGACATTATTAAGAGAAAGAAAGTAATGGTAGATTTGTATTACAACCCATCATTATAGTAAGATCATCGGTTATTATAATGATTCATAATGAAGCATCTAAAGAAGACAAGCGACTTAAAATTCATCTACTTGAATTTCAGTTTGACAGTCATTTACTGATCATATTTTTTTTATTCATGAAATTGTAGTAGATTACAATAAGATCACGACAAGTTTGAAAAATACCTGTAGAGAGAGTTATAGTTGTGATTTTCTACTAATTTATGTCATCGCCTAATGGATGGTGGCGATTACCACCGAAAGCTTCAAAAGTGAATTTCTCATGAAAATATAAATAGACGTTTTGTTTTGCAACAGTAACATTGGCTTTACTGACTTCATTGATAAGCATCCGACTTACTTATTTTCAGAATATGAATTCAATGTTGTTCTGATCGACCTTTTTGACGTGCACACTGCTAACAGCTTTATCAAAATAATTTCCGAAATATTAAGGTGTCACTTTAATGAAGCCATTAATTGTCAGAGACAAATAAAAACAACTTTATTTACTGTTTCATTTATAGGGAAATATCAATTTCGAAAATTAGGAGTTTCAAAAATGTTTTTCAGTCTAAATAGCTAGAAAATTCTATTCCTTTTTGTTAGTTAGTAAGTATTGCAAATAGGGAATACCATTAAATGGTCTCAATTCAGGCGAAGAAAATGCATTCTCTTTTACTTGATTTCCGAATTAATTTGTTACTTGGTAAAATCTATTGTGGAGACGATGCATAGGTTATAAGCTTGTCGAGAACTAGAAAGATAAGTTAAGGTCTTTTATTTCACATCGGTTTTTATGGCAGTCGACGTGTTTAAACTGATTTATGTTGAGAAAAAAGTAACCCAAGACAAATGTACTTCAAGCAATAGTCTGAAGCTATGAACAGTTAAATAATCTTCTCATTTTGACTATCTGGGCGAGATAGCCGTGGTTTGGTAGACTAGTAATGAGAAGTTCTGACTGTGCAGCCAGTATGAGTACGACCAAGCGATAGTAACGCATCACTAATTCACATGGTAGTCGAGCAATATCCTTGGTAAGTGAAATGAAATTTGGTCGACAGTTGGATCTCGCAACTCAGTTGGCAGAGCATCTGGTTGGAAACTCGGTTGTTGTTGGTTCGATTCCCACAGTAGTTCGAACTTTCATTTAACCTTCAATCACCACCCACTATCAAAAGCTGATATGTTTAACATGTAGGAATATGAACTGGAAACAACTCAGTTATGTTCTTTCGATAAGACATATTCAATTATTCTACATTTGTCGAAGAACATCCTAAATAATCCTAATGTATTCAATCGTTTTCTAAGCTGAAAGCTACAATTAAAGACATGTATTTGTGGAATATCTCCACATATTACATTAATATCCATACAGAGAATACAGTGTTAACGCTTTTGTGTTGTGCATGTATTCATAACTATTGAACGTAGAGAACTTTCCAATATGCTACATTATTGCCAGACGGAAAATTCTTTAAACAAGTTCCACCTTAGCTTTAGCCATCAAATTTAAAAATTTAGTGAAAGATTAACTTGAGAGAAATTTCTTAATAGCAGTAATTTGTCTGAAGTGTAAGATATAGTGACAAGGAATTTCATTGTCTACAACCAGATTCTACCGTTCTCTTCTTGTTCCCTTAATGATAATAATGGTATGCTTAAACATTAGGCTTCTTAAAGTTTTCTATTGAAAAGATTTCATAAAGTTCTTTTCGTTCTGTTTGTTTTAATCATTTGAATGTCTTCTAAGTGTATTATGTACTCTTGCACATTTTAGAATGTTTTCAAATCATCGTTTCTCAAGGTAAAAATGAAACAAAGAAAAAACATTAAACCAGATGGAAATGGGCACATAAATGCTCAAAAATACAGTACAGTAATATTTCTAGAATACCTGTATCGAATTTCAGATTTTTGTACTGACTGACTACCATCACCATAATTACACTCTATTTTGTATTCATTCCCAAGTCCAGACCGGATGTAACACTCGCTACCCGTTTCATATCAGTGTCTTTCATACTGTTATTATTAAAACTGTTCAGATGCAATAATTATTTCTTTGAAAAATATTGTACAGGGAGCGAATGTGCTGAGATATTACGTGCTGAGAATTCCACATTGTAACACATATTATTTGGAATAAAGCGATTATTATTATTAAAGGTGAAGACATTTAGCGCATGAAGAAGCATGAGAAGTATCCTTTGGCGAGATTATTTATTTGACACATTTTCATACCATTTACTTCAGAGGCTAAGGAGACCACCTTTTCTGTAACTACATTATATCATGCCAGGGTTTACATAGTTTGGTTACGAATTTTGATTATCTTTGAGATGGTGGAGAAAATTTGTAGCTTAGGAAGATCATTTTGATGAGATTGTGTTCTGTGAGCTGAAGGATTTAATAACGGAGCATTGTCATTCTAGACAACATCAGAAAGATTAACTATTTAGACTATCATGAAGGAATAAATTATATAACCTAATGAAGTATTCACTGGTTTATCACTTGTTTTGCTCAGATTGCAAGAAAAGTGTAGTAATATTATGGTATTTCAAGTCTATCATACGTGGTCCTATCTGTGTTCTTGCTTACATTAGTGGGAACAATATCGCTTGTTGAGAGGCAGGTGTGTGCGGCTGACGAGTCCAAAATAAGACAAAACGCGCGTCCTGGATTCCACTGCTAGCTACTGTCCACCATTACTATACATCTGTGTTAAGATTTTTCCCCTGTTAGCATATATGAGTATCGTATAATCTAAATGTTTAAAATGATAGAACAAGGGTTACATGATTTTCTTGTAGAATATCTTTTTCGACAATCTCATTCATTTATAAGCATAAACGAGTAACCTACATGGTATCAATCGAGAAGCCAAGATTCTTTGGTGAATCTTTACCGTTTCGTTTGAACCTGTACTTCTGACGATGGTTAACTTCACCTTTAGAGTAGTAATTTAAAACGTAAATTAGTCCTGGTTTCTCATAAGTCACATTACCAGTAATAGTTTTTCACAAGGAAGACCGTCTCCATCAAGTATTTATATCATTTTTATTCCCAGAGTTTTCATAAATAGTTTTCGTACGTCAAAGCTGGTAACAGATAGTATCAAGGCAATTAAAGCTGAAACGAAAACCAAGGTCATGCCTGGATTCGAGCCAAAGGGCTATAAGTGATTAACTTACCAAATTTCATGTGGTACATTACAATTTTTAAGCTAGAAGAATTCGATTCATAGCATTTATTCAGTTATGTTCAACTGTAGGAGAAAACTACAGATTTATTTTCCTCCTGTAATAAAATTATCCTTACCTTTACTGGATTTCGCACTTCGTGTCAAAATTTAATGTGAAAGTAACACGTTTTACATTACTTCTACCATGTTTGCATTCTTAGGCGACTGAAATGCCTGTATGATTACATTATCTGCTTGTAAAACATGTAGATATTTAGAAGCCTTAGTTTGACATTGGTAAATTCAGTCAGGAGGCAAAAGTAATATCTTCACTGTTCTTGTAGACAAAAAATATTCTTCGTGAAAGATCAGTCTAGTGAAGGATGAACGTTCATACAATTACTTCAAGTTTCTTAATGATAATTAAAGCTTTACCCATCTTTCAAACTTTCCGATTTCATGCAGATTAGCGAATGATCAAGCTGTCGTATTTGATTGAAAACTCTCTCATTCACAATCCCATGGTCAAATTACTGTATAAACTGATAACTCATGAGTTAAATTAGTTAAGATCCCATTATTAGGATATATATGTGTATAATCCAGTCTCAAAAAGGAGTTTAGAAGTAATCCCAATAGCTGAATGGTGAAGCCTGTAACTTTAACATTCAGCGAACGAAGTTCTGTAAGGCAAACAAAATACATTCGTGATAACTACCAAAAAGAAAGTAAAACCACCCATGTGGCATCTTGGTGACTTATTCAGAGAATTCAACACTACTTAACACCCACTGATTCAGTCATTCTTGAAATATTCATCTACATCAGGAGTGATCAGTGATTTTGTGGATATTATAAGAGAATGGTTTACCCCAGGAGTTAAGGGTTATGTGTCAGAAGAATTAGTTGTAAGAGGTAAGAAGTTGTGACGTATGAGTAGATAATCAGCCTTTTCTTAAATGCTCACTATCTGAGTGAATTGTTCATTGTCACCATTTTTTCTTTGAACACTGAACGAATTCTTCAATAAATAAAACGGGAAATTTCATAAATCATTGTTGGTCTACTAAGTCGAAAAATCTCCTGCCCTACACTCAACATTGTTATATAGTCGAAAGCAAAATAGACAGAGTATCTTCCCTACTGAATATTAGTAATCAGCATTATTATTGATCTCAGCTGTTGCTTCAAAGGACTTATCTTTTGTAAAATACAAGCAGTTTTAATGGTACCCTTTCCCATTATGGTTGATATTAGATTAATGAATAATTTTACAACTCTATAAATTCTTTATTATTCAGTTAACAAATCTATGTGCTAATCAATTATATTTTTCCACCTGTCGAAATGAAAGAATGAGCTATGAATACGCTGGATAACAGTGGAAATCAAATGATAACGTCATATTGTAGCTTACTTGATGGTTAGCAGTTAAATCCATGATGGATGTTTCTTTCCATTCGGAACTCTTTAACTGGATATACCTGCATTCCAGTGAGTGATGACTCCTCCACTGAGACTCAAACTTAGCACCAACTACTTTAAAGCCTACAACTTTTTCCACTGGGCTACCAAGTTACGATAATAATACTCGGCAAAGTCTAAATGTTCCTTGCTCAACTAAAAGTTAAGCTTGAAAGTAAATGCACTTAACATTTTCTGGTTAATTATTTGACTTCTAAAAAAGTTTACCAACTAATCGAGAAAATTCCGCTGAATATACAGTGAAATATAACAATAATAATAATAATTTCATACCTGATTTGATTTTCATAACGCTGAGTGATATTATCCTTGTCAGTCTGAAAAATGTAGTTCAAGCTTATTTCCATTCAATACATGTATATGTTAGGGTTATCTCAATCCAGTGTTGATGTGTGCAAGCAAATAAATGAAAACCAAAACGATTAACTTGTATCTTGTTGAGTGTGTATATAGACTGTTTGACTGATTCGAAGACTTTTATATATTCTCGACGATTTCTATTTTTATATTATTATGTAGTGATTGTTTATAGTTAAATATCACTTTGAGATTAAGGGAAATAGTTAGATATTCCAGTTAGGGTGTATTTTAGACTTTTGGACAAAGACGCAAAGGTTCGATTATACTGACGGAATGGGATAAAATGGGATGGGTTGGGATCAATATTATCGAAAATGAAAGCTAGTTTCAGTTCGGAGGAATCTCTTTCTTCTGAATGATAAACAAATTATGCATTGATCGTGTACTGATACCTTTGACATAACCTTTATTCGTTTATAGAAAGACTCTCTTCCATTATTTTGGCTGATTTTACTAACATCAGAGGATGTCTTGATCCTGTTCATTCATCAATACATTTGCTGATCATACTGATAATTAAGGCAACAACAAACAAACGGAAACTGAACACCTTCCCATCAACCAATCAGAAATGAATAAAAATTTACTACGAATTCATTCAATTTATCTCTTCCCCTATTGAAATACAATAATCTATCCCAACAGAAAACTTCACTCCTTCCATTTCTTTTCTCCTATCGTCCATTTTTCCAGTAACAGAAAGCCAGAGAAACAGGACTGAGGTTAAGCGCATTTTCCTTCTCTACTCTTGTGTGTGTGTGTGTGTATTCACGATGTTTTTCAAACAGAGAGACATATTTTCCCCGTGTTTTTAGAAGAATAAATCTCATAGACATTTGTGTCTGTGCAACCAGGCCTTTGTGTGAATACATTCATCTGCGTAAATATCTGGATAGTTGGCGATATTGTGGATCCGATTGGTTGATGGGTGCGTAGGTACAATTTAGCAGAACAAACATGTATAGTGTAGCTGATGAGAAGTTAAATCAAGTAAAACTGTGGAGATAATTATTCAGACCATTTTAACACTAATAAATGTATGTTGTTGCTTGTATTATACCGTAGTTGAGTGAACCGAATTGATCGGTCTCTCTTGGCATATGTTCTGACGTGAGGATTCCTCCATATAACTGGGAGGCGGGTACATCTAGATGATGAGTCACAAGCAGGAAAAAAAGCATGTACTGGATTCCACTACTGGTCATTATCCACCATTACGAATAATGAATGTATGTTTGTGTGAAGGAAGTGTAGATAGAGAGAAAGAGGTTTTGTAGGTAGGTGGTTGGCCAGTTGTTCTTTACTACTTCCTCTTGTCCACTTGTCCAACACTCATCTTGATAGTTAAAGCAATTTTACCTTACTACTGGGGAGTTGAAGAAGAGGCTAACTGTTCACAGTGTTTAGTTTGTTTCTTCGTTATCCTCTTCTTCTATCATACAGATTTGTTTTTGTTTCTAAATATTCGAATATCTACACTTAAACTTGTCCATATGAGATCTGTTTAAGTTAATATAATAAACGTACAGATAAAAAAAATGAATACTACAAAGTTATTTCATGCGTAAGTAATGAGAGGAAAACATGCAAGATTTCCTTGTCTATCGTGCATTCCCCATGACCCTCTAAAACGATTTGCTGAGTGGATTAATTGACTGACTGGTACTTAATTAGTTTGGTCAGTGATCATATTCAAACCAGAATTCGGCATGTTATCGACTTACTGGTTTGTCTATAAATCTGTTAGACTCAAAGCTAACAAGGTTACTTCAGTTGTTGGAGTTTTTCCCCCAACTTATTCACACGAAGGAATGAGTTCATCAATATACTACTATTGAACAACTTAAGTATTTAGAAATCATTCAAGCTGATATGAAGACTTCGCCAGCCAGACTAGAATGATCTTGAAACCGGATAGCTGTTCCGATCGTTAAAGGTCAGGCTTATCAAATGGCATATCCAGACAAATTCAACTCAGAATTGCTTAAACACTGTTACATTTGAGTAATAATAATCAATCAGTTGCTTCTTCTTACTCTACCCTCATGAAAATGTTGATAAAGCCAATAATGTGCTAAGAAAAATAAGAAGGAGGTTACAACGGAAATAATTATCTTTTTCGATGAATCATTTTCACAGCTGTACATTCGTAAACATATAAGTGATTGAATCTTCCAGATAACTTACCAGTATAAAGTCAAACTTAATCTATAGGCTTGTGTAGGGAATGAAATGATATTAAGTAACACAAGACATGATCTCAGTAGTTGTTATAAAACACAATAAAGTACAAACAGAGGTTCAGAGTACCTGATTAAGACCATGGTAAATAGAAAGTTTGTACATGCTTCTTTTGAATATACAATGAAGGTTTCAGGCTGTGAATTACCAAAACCAGCTGTAGATAAACACCTAATCATCTCTCCCTTTTGAACAGTTTAGTCGAACATTTTAGCGAACTTTGAACGAGGTTTCCAGAGGAACAAGATTTCCATATTTAAGGAGATGTTCAACGATGTAGCTCGAGATGATTTTGTGCTCACCACTCAGCAGCCAGGCTGGGTAATGTTGGCGAAACCACAGTATGGTCGACGTATTCAGCTCTACAAGAGCAAGTGAACTTGTAAATACACACTCATGAGGCCCAATGCGCCAATTTATCTTTCACACATTAACAAATCAGCTGTTGACATGTGGAACACAATATGGTGGTTCACAGCATAGAATATTATACTTAGGGACTTTGAAAGGCGTTGACGAAGGATATCTAGAGCAAAATCACCTTTCAATCTGAGTTTCATTAAGAATATTTTCGTCGGAGCTGTTTGAGTCTATTCCAGTCTTCGTTTCATAGTTCCTTCGATAAATCTGGATGGATATCCATTCTTAACCAGTATTTCTTAAAGGGTTTCTAATTCTTGAACAAGTTTATCATCACTCTACACCTTTATTATGCTTGATGAGAATGAGTGCCGTATATTCCTCTTCCTAATTAATGGTACCCAACTTTGATAGCTGGTTAGTTTCCCATCCCAAGTAAGCCTTATGTAAATAGATTTTTGAATTGAATTATCAGGCCTTTTTTGAAACTTGACACGAAGGAGATGACAGTAATATCCAGCAGACTTAAAGATAGGCCTTAACATAAGTTTTCTCCACAAGATTCAGTGAAGTGATGGGTTAGAAGCATTATAACCTTTGGTTCGAAATCTTACATGAACAGGATTTCCTTGCCACTTCTCTGTTAATCAACTATTGTACCATGAGTATAAATTCAGAGTTATATCTGGACGAAGCAGAAGTTATTTTCAGAATAATTGATGACTAAAAGCAATAAAATGTGATTCAATTTTTCTTTTCTTGATTTCTTAGGTTGAATAGGGAATACAATTGTGTTGCAGTACAGTAGTCGATCCCTTCTATTTTAACCCTGTTCTTGATAAAACGTGAAGATTTACCTACGAGCAGTAGGTGAGTGAGTAATTCTCATAAATTCTTGCCGATCCAAAGATTGATTTTGTTTGACATGGTAGTCGGTAGTGGCTGGTTCGAATCCGGCCGCGGTACAGATTTTCATCTCACCTTCAGTCATCACTCAGTGCAAATACTAGTCTGCCAAATTATGGCTATCTCAGCTAGTCGAATCATAATCAATATGATGCTCCCCCTCTCTGATTCAGTTAGATTTGGATTGAGATGAGAAGTCCTGACTGGGCCCCCATATGTGAATATGATCAAGCTGTAGTAACGCGTCACGAATTCACATGGTAGTAGAGCGAAAATCCTTAGTGACTGAAGTAAAATGAAATTCTGGCTAGAAGTCGGACCTCGTAGCTCAGTTGGTAGAGCACCAGGCCGGTAACCCGGTGGTCGCTGGTTCGAGTGCGGCTGTGTCCAGATCTTCTTCTCACCTTCAATCATTACCTAGTACAAACACTAAAAGTTGGGAATCTTTTTGATTTCACGGTCTAGGCTGAACATTGTCAACGATGAGTTCTATGATAGGAAACATTACTGTTCACTTCAATATTTGCCTTATTATCTCACTAAGTAGTATGCTTTCCACAAACACACTGATTTCTTCTTGCCAGCACCATAAAGGAGTTATTTGTCAGTCTAGCCATTGATTACCAAAAGTTTTGTCGTCAAACTGGTTATATATTGGTTGAAACTAAACGCCTTATTAGACAAGATGAGCATTGGTCAAAATGTTATTGAGGCGATTTATTCGCGGAGTAGTAATCTGCGAAACTCGATTGAAGCTTTCGGCAGTGTAATTCGACATACGACTGGTATTATCACCTCCGTTCAGTTCTTCTTCACACTTCTCTTTGACATGGATGGACTTTTGAAAGTGTACAAACCCAGTATGACAAAGGGAAATTATAAGTATTAACACACAAAAACGAATAACCGTTGCACAAGTGATGGCTGTTATGCCACAGTATCCTAGTGTAAAACACCGACATTTGAAGCAATAAGTACTGGGTTCGAGTCTCAGTAGGGATATTATCACTCACTAGGGTGCAGGTGCATCCAGCTAACGAGTAACGAATAGGACGAAATGCGCATCGTGGATTCCGCTGCTATCCACCGAATAGGCGATCATACACAAACAAAAAGAAATATAAACGTTCATACTCAGCGTGATACACTTTCCTGGTAGTCGGTCATACCAGTGTCAGTGATTTGTTAATGAACGGGTATAAGAAAGGGGAAGAAAACCAGCCGCTTATTCCCTCATTTCGCACCCCTCTCTCTCTCCCTCGCTATTATACGCATACTCATACACCTCAGAAGTATGCTGAAATTCTGCAGTCTTTATTCATTTCAGTATTCAGATGTTTCTGTTGGTTTTATTGAATACTTTGAGTTGTATAGATTATAATTATGTCGATATTTACTTTTGTCTATGTATCATTATACAGGTTCTCAGTTCAATTTTGAATTCTCTCTTTGATCTGAAAATAAAAACATACAGAACAAGAGTAAGAAAGAAAGAGAGAGAACGAAGATCACTGAACCGGAAGATTCAATTTCGTTCAATTCTTGCTCATCACGATTGAAGAGAGAGACTGGGATCACATATAGCATGTTTGAGTGTGTTAGCTTGTGTATATGTGTTCTGGTATGTGCTTTCATATCTCAAATGGTTGGTAAGGTTTGCTTGTCTGTTTAAAGGATTACATTGAATCATATTTTCAAAAGATAAAGGATTCCTGGTATAACTCTAAATGAGTGAAAGAACTTTTCTCTGTCATTTTATGGGATAGCTAAGAGATTTTATTCGAAGGAGGTACTGAAGACACAGGTGTATGAAAAAACCCTTTCGTAATTCATGTGGTCTGGTTACATATTTGTACAGACTGTATGTAAAACTTGAAGCAAGAAAGATATTTGTTTGAAAACATACTCATTTGAGTTCTAAATAACTAGGACAGATTTATTTTTCAAACTGACGTTCATCATGGAATGATATCAGTAGAAGAAACACTGGAAACC